ACCAATTGACAGCCACTGCCCCAGTCTGTAGAATGATTTTTGCATGTTGACTACAACTATGATTATTACTCTTATTATTACTAAACTATTACTAAAAAATGAGAATTTCTTTTTTGTCTTTAAAATTGGAATTTGCTTTATAAGAGAAACTATAATCATAGCTGTACTTTTTTCATATCAAAGGTATAAGAAATAGTGGATGCTTTTGGTGCTATTTTCTAGTCTAGTTGAGCATAGTGGTTTTCAATCCTATGCTCCCCATACATATCTTAGTGTATATTAGATGCATTCACTAATAGTAGTAGCTCACTGTGGCTATGGTTCTCAAATCTGGAGACTGGATCAGTCTAAGAGGGTTTAAGAACCTCTTTGGAAAGTTGTTTACTCTAAAAAAGAAAAATCTGGGGAGGAAGAAATGGCTACTCATTAAGAAGCTGGGGTAGCAAGTTGGATAAATTTCCCCAAAGGAAGGCAATTTCCCCTTTTAAATGTGAAAATTACTAACATCAGTAAGATTATTCTATAAATTTCCTTTTCTCCATCCACAGTCCCTATACCTATGTAAAAATAATCATTAGCTTCCTAGACCTACTATTTGTTCAGCTTTGTTCATAAGAACAGAATATCTATCATTTTGAATAGCTTACAAAACGTTGATACAAGAAGTTGTAAAGGACTAAAGAGACTGGCTTAGTATTCAATCTTTCTTAGGGAATATGAGAAAGTATTCATTTTTAGTCTAAGCTAGAGACATTCCTTTACATTTTGATATTTTACAGACATAGGTAAGTTACGACCTTCATTTAAACAAGTTAATAAGTTTACGCAGGGTAGCCAAAAATATACTCAATCATACCTTAATATGTCTCTTTTGCTCAAAAGCATTCTGTGCCATGAGTGAACAGAACAAGCCCTCACATTAGTTGTCTTCAATAAAACATTATCTTTTGGCTTCCTTTTGCACTAGGGGAAATAAAAAGTCACATGTGGAGAAGTTCTAAATGGTAGACAGAACTAATCCTTGGGGGGCAATTTTTATCCTCCACGGAAGTATTGCAGACTTCTTCCATTAGCATAGTCCCAGGGAGCAAAAGGTTAGGGAAGTACAGGGACTGCCAACTCTACCTGAATACATAAGTCAACATTTCCTCCAGGCACTGAGTGCGCCCACGTGTGCATTAAAGTATCTGAGACGGGAAACAACAATTGTAATATTTTACACTGGAATATATGCTGTGCACATGACGACATTTTGTTTATGGTTGTAGGGAAAAAGGGAAGGCAGTTTCCAGATTTCCCCCTCAGCACCTACCATTTGGCATAGGATATGGGAGGTTGAAGAAAACGGAGGGAGTTTTGCCTCAGTTGAAACAGCTGGGAAACAGATGGAAGCTCATGTGCGATTTGCCAAAAGCTTCTTGCAAAGATTCCACCCATTTTCCACCCTAGAAAAGCTAGTTGGGAGATAGAAATAGAGGCCTCGGAATCAGCAAATGATGGGTTTTGAAAAATTTAAGAAAAAAGCCAAAGGATTTTTTTGAACTTAATATTATAGGAAATATAAATACAGAAATGCAATTCCGAGGAAGATGTTTTCAATAGGAAAGAAAAAAGTGGGAGTATCATGGGTGAAAAACCACAGCAGAATCACAATTACAGAGCTATAAGTGTACATAGAATTAACATTGGTGCAGCCTCAGCTACCTTGACCATCTTTCTCTTAAGTAATGAAGTTAAGTACACCCCCACCCTTTCTCACGTTAATTACTATATAATTATTCCATTTGTCATTATCGTAAATGTAAGTGTGCACAGTTTACTTCATTTTAGCCAGTGGATTTCACTTCATGAGCTACTTTGGTTTGGATTTCAGGCGTTCAGTAAGTTGCTTTTGGATTTAAATGTTGAATTATAGCCAGACTTTTGTTTAAATTCAGTCACTGGATGTATAAACCTCCTGTGTATATTTCAAGTTACAGTGGGCATGAGTATAAATCCCCTACATGTGACTGTTCTTCTAAGCATTGGCCCAAGTGTTGTGTGTTTTTGTGTTTGTTTGTGTGTGTGTATGAGTATGTGTGTATGTATATATGTGTGTGTGTGTTTGTAGTATTTTGAAGTACTTTTGAATGCCACAAAAGTTCAAGAAAATCAGCTTCAAAAATAAATACAAGTTAATAGGCTTTTCTCAATGTGAATTTGTTCATTCATGCTTATATAAGGGAATGTGTTAACCATGAATCATTCACACTGAACTGCTCATGAGAAAAAATGCTCTGGCTCTGGTGTTCGTTTTCAGAGTTGCTTTACTGAAGGGAAAAGAGCATTGTCCCCATGTAATGAATAATCAGCCACAGATTTCAGACTGAACATGGCTCCAAATTGGCAAAAATCATTTTGATTCACGTGAGAACATGGATCCTTGTGAGAGGGACTTATCTGAGTATTCTGGGCTGTGACTGAGTTTGCAGTCTGCCAGAAGAGCCAGTGGAAAAGTTAAATTAAAAGAAAAAAAAAATCATTGGGAAGTTTTGCTCACACAATACCAGAATAGCTAAATGCTCCAGAAGACGTGGAGGTTGGCAAATCTGTAGCTAAAAGAAATGGGTGTTGGACTGTAGGTTTCACTTAGGGCCTGGTAAGTTGGCGTTGGGAAATCGGTAAGTAAACATGGCCTACGTGAGAGCTCACACATCATTTATTACGTAACTCACCTGGTCCCAGGGACTTACTATAAAGTGCAGTCGGCCTGTGTGTGACACACCACAAACCACTTTTCGCTCTGCCTACAGCCTTGCCTGCCCAGCCAAGGTGGGGAGCCCGTGACAAGCCCAGAAATGTGGTCAGTGAATTCTGAAGCATTTCTGACGGTGCCAGGACACCAGTCAGTGAAACATACTCTCTGATCCCTCAGAGGAAAAGTAATGGCCAGTGTGCCAGAATTTTGATGCAAACCTATTGCTGCTGCTGCTACTAGACCTAGAAAACTTCACATCTGGCAAGCTTAGGTTCTGGTAAGAGTCAAAACAAAATTATTTACATTAGAGGGCCTTGTCTAGTAGACATTCATTATGCAGGGCTCTCCCGACTTCACTTATACTTCCCCCAGCCAGACAGAAAGAAAAGAAAAACATGGAAAAAAATCTTTTTCGCCCCCTTAGTGTATTTAAGCATCATTAGATGAAGAAACAAATGTTGCCTGACGAGATTCTTCATAAAGCCTCACTATTTATTACATGTGTCAATTAAAAATAAGTGAAAATGTCACTCTCTGTAACCTTTGATTGACCATCATTTGGGCTCACAGAAGAGTTCATTGTACTCCCACCTGATAAAGTCATCACTCTTTGCATATACATGCTCAAAAGTAACTCAAAACTGAAATAATTTTCAAGAAAGCAAAAACATGCTTTTATTTTGATTATATTGATATCTTACCGAGGATAAATTTCACATGAATTCCTAGAGCTGGTATGATTACCTATTAACTGGCTTATGTGGAATTGGTTTCCATTACATACACACATTCTCTTCTTCAGTATATTAAGAATGTCTTCTAATTTACATCTCAGGGATATTATGTGGATAAATGAAACACTATATGTAGATTATGTCTTAAATACTTAGGAATAAAGATGGAATGATAGGCTCTAAATTATTAACTCTACATGGCATTTCACGATTTGGGGTTTGGATAGCTGATGTTAGGTGTTGTGCATCTTATGTCTATCGCATACATCATGAAAAAAATTTAAGCTCTGCTTATATTTTGAGTTACATGGACACAATTTAATCATAGATTCCATGTTGGACTAAGTCAGTGATGGCGAACCTATGACACGCGTGTCAGAGGTGACACACGAACTCATTTTTGGGGTTGATTTTTCTTTGTTAAATGTCATTTAAATATATAAAATAAATATCAAAAATATGTCTTTTTACTATGATTGCAAATATCAAAAAATTTCTATATGTGACATGGCACCAGAGTTAAGTTAGGGTTTTTCAAAATGCTGACACGCTGAGCTCAAAAGTTTCACCATCACTGGACTAAGTGTTATCCTATATAATAAAAGCCTAATATGCTAAGTGTCCGGTTGTCCATTCAACCAAAGTGCAATATGCTAATGATATACTAAGGCCGCTCAACCTCTAGCTATGACATGCACTGACCACCAGGGGGAAGATGTTCTGACCAGTAGGTTAGCTTGCTGCTGGGGTCTGGCCGATCGGGACTGAGCGAGATGGGCCGGACATGCCCTGGAGCCTTCCCGTAGTTCCTCCCCTACTGGCCAACCTTCTGTGTCCCTCCCTGGCCCTGATTGTGCACTGGTGGGATCCTTTGGCCTGGCCTGCACCTTCTCACAATCCAGGCTGAGGTACCCCCACCCCGAGTGCACGAATTTGTGCACCAGACCTCTAGTACAAAAATAAAAGAAGAGCATTGCTGTTGCCCTCAAGGAGACTGAAAAATTGAAATTAAAAGGCTAATGAATACACACACACATATGCTTAGCCTGATTTTGCACCAACTTTTATGATTCAGTTGCTAAACATTTGAATTGCTCCAATATACATATACCAAGTCACCACTATTTTTTAGTATTACTCTGTTTATCCATACTTAGAACTCAAGTATATATGTTAAATTATTAGGCAACATTTTATATCTAAAATTGTTTTCAAGATAAGTTTTGGTTTATTTGATCATTGTAAAATTAAAAGCAATTAAATATTTTGTTCATATTTCATAAGAAAATAAACTAGACATTTCCTAATTAGGCTGTGAGTCACTTGAAGGTATATTGAAAAAATAAGAAATATGTAAACTCACCATGATTAGGGGAGATCAGTCTTATTGTTTTTGGTCTGTTTTCCCCATGTCTAACACAATACCTGAAAAAGTAGTTAATAAATGCGTCTGGTATGAATGACATAATTGAAGAGTTTGAATGAATGAGCTAAATCTAATTCTCTCTTGCTTTTGTCTTTCTCCCTAGACTCCCAGGAAGGCAATTACAAGTCAGAAGTCAATAGCAAACCCAGGAAGGAAAGGACAGCATTTACCAAAGAGCAAATCAGAGAACTTGAAGCAGAATTTGCCCATCATAATTATCTGACCAGACTGAGGAGATATGAGATAGCTGTGAACCTGGATCTCACTGAAAGACAGGTAAAGTCAGACTTTGTCATTATATGATATTTTTAATTGCTTTGGGTCAACATTCTTCTCCAGGGACTTTTGCAATATCAAGACCAATGGTTCTTAAATATCATTTGGAAGACAGGTGTTTTATTTCATGATGAAAGTTTTGCCCTGTAAAATAGCAAAATTAAGGATAATATAACAATGTTTTAAAGAAAATGATACTGATTCAGTTTAAGGAATCATCCTTTAATCTGTGATTGTGCCCTTTCTGCCTTTAAAATACTTTTTATTTTATATAATGTGGGTAATTTTGTTCGCTTATAGTTCAAAAATCTCCTTATATGGTGTAATAGAAAGTAGGCAACACCATGTGCGCTTCCTCAGTTGCTCCGGATAAGGTTATATTGCAGTAACACAGACCCCCAAACTTCAAAGATATAACAAAAAAGTTCATTATTTGCTTACTGTCTATACTAACTCTACAAGTCCAACATTCCAAATAATCACTCACCAGACCCTGCCTGACTCTCTGGCTTCTCAATATGTGGTGTCCTTGGTAACTACCGGAGGTAAGACAGAGTTGGAGGTTCATGCATTGACCTTTAAATGTTTTCACCTGGAAATGACCCATGTCACTTCCATTTACACTCTAATGTCTGGAAATAGTCAATTGTGCCACTTTAGTTCAAGGGGGCTGGGAAATGACGGGAGCAAGAGCACAGAGGTCATTGGTAAATATTTCTGACTTATCACCCCAAAATATTTTTGAAACTGTATTGGTCTCAGAAATTCAAACTTCTTCTCCATTCATTTAGAGAACACTTTGGCATTATTAGTACTCTGTGGACTCCAGTAATAAGACTTTTAGGTTCTGTCTTGGATTTTATTTGAATGGCAAGTAATTCTCCCCAGTAGCTCCCAGTGTACTCTGCTATGAGTTCTGATTTGTCCTAGGAGAATCTAGCCTACTGATGGTTAACAGTTGCTAATCTTTAGAAAAAACATTCCTGAAAGCAAATGCAAACATCTTTATGGACAGTGCAGTTATGATTGGCACTCTCAGGGCTAGAGTTTCATTTCCTCCTTCACTGTATGCCCCTCCTCCAGAGATCCCATTGGAACCAAGGAAATAGAAACAGGGTGTGTACAAATGAATGCTGTTGTAGAAGTCCAAGCTCTTTTATCCAATTTCTTAAATCATCTGTTTTACTTCTGTTAATCTCTATATTGTACCTTTAGATAGGATAGTTCTGGGTAGTGGAAAATATATGGAGGAAGACTTTTATGTGGTTTTATTTATTGGCAGTTTATTTTTTGTTGAATATTATGACTAGTACCTACATTATGAAGCACCGCATTTTCCTTCCTGTGAACGTCACATACAAAACCCCTTCCGTAATTGTACGACATTTGGTGTGCTGGACAGTAGGGTCTAAAATCTGCATCATCACACATCTGTGATTTTTTATTCAGTTTTTTAATTGTTATTTTTTAACGGGGAACAGGAAAAAAGGAGGTAGGAATTATACATTAATGTTCTTTTACAGAGACATTGAATTCTAGAAAATACAACCAAGTTTTATTTTATTTTCATTGATTTCAGAGAAGAAGGTAGAGGGAGAGAGAGATAGAAACACCAGTGATGGGAGAGAATCATTGATTGGCTGCACAACCTGGGCATGTGCCCTGACAGGGAATCAAACTGTGACCTACTGGTTCATAAGTCTATGCTTAATTACTGATCCACACCGGCTGAGCAACAACCATGTTTTATATGATACATAAAGGAAATAAGAAAGTAGGGTTTGCTCCCATTCTACAAAAATGATAGGATGCAGTACTGCACTCTTATTCAAGAGAAAAGTCAAGATTCTATGCTTGCTATTCTGGGGATGGCCTATGATTACCTGTCATTATCTGATCACAGAGCAGAGGTTTTGCTTTTGGCTGTTAATAATTTCTTTTTTCAATTTTGTAAATTTTGTTTTGGAATTTGGAAGGTATTTTGGATATTCTTTCTTTTTAACTGACTTGCTACTCTTGGGGGAAAGCATTGTATCCAAGACAAAGTATATAATAAAAGTGTAATCTTTTTTTTTTTTTTTTAAAAAGGTCCCTTTTAATTGTTTTATCAGTTAAACTTTACTATGTAACAAACCAATTAAGAATCTTAATGGCTTCAAACAATAATTGACATTTAATTTGTTCATAATTTTGTGAGAAAAGAATTTTGATTTGGCTCAATTGGACAGTTGTTCTGCTGGCCTTCAACTGGGGGGGTCGGTCTGGGCAGCCTCAGCTGGGCCAATGTGTCTCTGTTGTGTGTCATTTCATTTCTAATAGACTTTCTGAGATTCTTCAAATGGTGGTAAAAGCATTCCCAGGAGTAATTAGGAGAAAAATCCAATGGACATTGGCATTTTAAAGCCTCTGCTTGCGTCATATTTACTAATGTCATATTGTCTAAAGCAAGTCACATGACCAACCTCAGTGTCCATGTAGGAAGGGGCCACCTAAGAGATTGGAAGGAAGGCAAATTTTGTTGGAGGCCATTACTAAACCATCTGACTTTAGCCTCCTGTGGGGGAGGGGAGAATAACTATAACAACAAAATGAGAGATAATAAAGTTTTCAAAGAATTGAAAATTTGGTATTATGCAGATTTTTTTTTATCCTATACATTTGAATTTGGAGTTTTATAAGTTCATATAAGAAGGAGCTGTATGCATGTGGAATTTAAATACACAAACTAAGTCTTTAGAGGGCTGCTATTTGTTACACAGAAAATTGAATTGTTATGTGAAAAATCTGAACAAAAATACTAGATTTACCAATTGGAATTGTATATTCTTATACAAGGAAAAAAAATCTCTCTAAAGCACAAAATGGAAATTAAAACTATTTTCTCTTTCTTCTACTCAGGTTTGTATGTCATAATGGATATGAAATAATTTTTAGCATAAACTATGTAACACAACTATCATCAGAAGGGAAACATCTTTGCTATGCAAGACATAGTGAATTAATTATTTTGTAACACGAGCATTTGTTGAGCCAGATTCTTATTGTTAAAATAAGCTGGACAAGTTTCTGCTAGAACTCACAAAAGAGGAAAAATTGAACAAGTATTAACAAGTGTGATGAGTGTTGGATGTCACAAGAATGGCTTATATGGGAGAAGATTCCTGGTGATGCTAAGTCTTCAGTATAATTCTACACTTTTGTGCACCTGCAGTATCTTAAAATAAAGCTTTGTTTATGTTTTCTGGGCTGAATTTTACTATGCTAAATTTATTATAAAAATGTTGCATGCTGTCAGTCACCAATTTTGCTAAATTTTGGACCCCTTTAAGGGTCTGAAAGCATATTCCTCCCAGATGCCAGGGCTCTCTTTCCAGCGAGATATTTCGTTGTTTTTTTTCCTCTAGGTTGGGCTTTTAAAGTTATAAACATGGAGTTATAAAGTAAAATTATCTTCTTTTAATTGTGATATATCTATCTCATCACTTTGATTTTGCAATAATGCCATACAAAGTTACCTATGTAATCTTTCTTTACCCGATAAATTCTTAAGTAACATCCTTTTTATGGGATGTCCACATGTAAAGTATTCTAATTATAGATATGTACATTTTTTTAATTTCTACTCTGCAAGCCTTATCTTTTCCTTACATTAAAATAGCATGAGATTTAGTGAAATAATTTACATGTATATTCCAAAGATTTTATCTAACGCCATATTGTAAAATATTTTCCTTAACTTTAACAGAATTTTCAGTGTCCAAAAATATTTTTCTTGATTTTTAAAGCCTTTCAAAATGTAAATACAGAGATAGAATTCATATGTATATAATATAAATGAAAAATACCAAATATTAAATAATTTCAATCCTTAGCAAAATCAGGTTATAGAAATAACTTTCTCCTAAATGAAAACTTACTTTATATTCAGAAGTACCCTTTATACATATTTTGATCTAAAATCTTACCTATTTGCCTATATAACACGTCTATGTATAGCTGAAATGTTATGTGTAGATTCCTTTATCTTCCTTATATTACCAGGCAATGTACCTGCCTCACATTTTATGATGTACCACATACATGTTGTTATAAAGATTTACAATAATAATTATATTTTCATTTAGGAAAAAAGATATGTTGAATTGTTAAATATAATTCCCCACTTGAACTTTTTGAACTTTCAAATCCCTACCTGAAGAATAAAACCTCGCAGCTAAGTAAGATTCTTATGTCTGTGTCTTCCATAATGCAATGCCTTTACATTTCAGGGGAGCCTATAATTCCTTGAAACTCCATCTAACCAAAAAGAAAGAAAAGAAGGCTCATCCTGCAAAGTAATTCCATGTTAGCTGTGCTAGCACATAGGTACCAACTAAAATTACTGTATTTTATGTTAAAGAAAAATGGAGACACTAAAACAAGGCTGAACTTCAATTTTTTTTCCTCACCCAAGTCCATGTTTATTGATTTTAGAGATAGAGGAAGAGAGCGAGAGCGAGAGCAAGAGCGAGAGAGAGAGAGAGAGAGAGAGAGAACGAGATTGGTTGCCAGGGCAGAACATCAAATATGTTTAATTATATAATGTTGCTTCGCAGAATAGTTACCACTCCAGTAATCTTCCAGCTTCTAATTTACAGCTTTCAGTTTACAACATATTCTCATCCACTTCTCAATCAACAGCTAATAATCTCCAGTTGGCAGAGCCACTTGGAATATTTTGAAGAGCCAGTCAGTGTAGAGACCTCCTGTCCCAACGTATTTTTAAGTTTGACAAGCTTATTCTGGCTTTTTCATCCATCCAGATACACTTGGATGAAGCTCCCGCCAAATTTTTAATATCTCACAGCGGGAGAAGAGAGACGGCAGTTGTATGAAACTGTAAAAGGAGTGACAAAACTGACATTTTTATAGAGTCAAGGCTGCCAAATATAGAAAGAATGGGAGATCCTTCCACTTCACAAAGTCATTTCACAGAGCTAAGCAAAGGTGCAATGTTGCCGATTCGTAAACTGAGGTTACAGAATAGACAGGCTGGATTCATGATACCTCTGCCAAAATAAATGGAAAATCCCACCTCATTGGATCATATTCCATTAGTGGAAATGAGAGGGATTATGTTTTGTTTGTTACTCATAAATCATTAAATGGCTCAATGCCAAGTATTTTCAAAATAGGCATCCATTTTTTGGATGACTATGAAGGAGGATTTTTCATGTGCCAAATAAACAGTGGTTTTGCTCAGCTTTTTACACAGTCCCTCTCCTTTGCAGGTTTACTTCTGTAAATTTATGTGAATACTTTTAGTTATTTAGCTAATCAATTATGTCTCCATGACCTGACATATTGTCCATTCAAGGCAACTTAAGACTACCTGTATAGCCAGTGATTTTAGAATATTTTCTTTTTTTTTTTTTTTGGATTAGTATCTAACAGTCACCTAGAGTAATAGTAAGATACTTATTTTACTTAAATCATGGTGTCCAGGCTATTTTGAAAGACTAAACATGATTTGATTCCAACTGGAAAACGTGGGTAGCCCAGTGTGAAACAATTGATAGTGGGATAAGGGATGAAGTCTTAGTTTGAAGTGAAAGAGAGATTTCCCAGGTAGCATGGGTTTTTAAAGGGAAATGTATGTTGATAGTGTGTGTTGAGCCCTAAAAGCCAGATTCAGTACTGCCTTGAGTTTTACAAAACAAAGGCTGTGTAGTAAGAAAAAGAATTTAAGAAATCAATAATAAAGCAAGATCGATAAAGAGCAGATCAATGAATCAATCACATAATTAGTTAATTTTAAGACATATTATCTGTATAAAGTAGAAGACTGAGAAATAAGTAATTCATCTCTAACCATTTGAAAATGTAAATATCCAGGTATGAAATAAAATCTCAGGAAAATAAGGTCCTACCCTTATTGAACCAGCCTTGAGATTATATAATCTGTGTGTGTTTTAATATTGTTAGCTAGATGGATAGATATACAGATATATTTCTATCTATACATATATATTTGTGTATATATATACAAATAGAAAATACTCCTTATTTTAGACACTTGATTGAAATGTGCTTTAAAGGCTCCCAGGAGCTTTTGGAAACAGCTGAGGATGCCTTGTCTTAATCAGGTACAAATCTATCTATTCAGGCAGGAAGAGTAAAGAAGCTTTCTTTCCCCCCATTTTTATAATTACCTTATAGAGAAGCAATTTTCTACCTTTTTCATTTCATGGCACACATAAATTAATTAATAAAACTCTACAGCACACCAAAAAATATATTTTTGCCAATCTGACAAAAAAAATAGGTATAATTTATATTCATTCACACCAGATGACTATTGTCATGTTGGCTGTTATTTTTACTAGAGGCCCGGTGCACAGAATTCATACATGGGTAGGTTCCCTAGGCCTGGCCAGCGATCAGGGCCAATCAGGGCCTTCTGGCTGCCAGCCAGGGCCTTCCTTCATTCCGCGCCACCCCCTGGTGGCCAGTGCATGTTATAGTGAGTGTTCGAACTCCTGGTCTCCTGGTTGAACTCCCGAGGGGACACTTTGCATATTAACCTTTTATGTATATAGATTATATATAGAGATTTGACAATAGTCAGGTACTACATGTTTAAAAAATTCTTGTGGCACACCAGTGTTCCATGGTACACCAGTTGAAAATCACTGTTATAGAACATTCCTGGTTCCATTTCTTCAGTTCATCTACTGACTTTGCCACTGTATTACTTGGGTAAGTCTTTCTAGGGACTATTTACATTGGGTTCCCCGATCAACTGCCATGAGTAAATTTAGTCACAGATGTGATTAAATCTAAAAATGGTATTAATACAATTACTCTTTGCATGTTTTCACATGTTAAAGATCTGAATAAATATTTGTTAGAGATTGTCTACAGTATTTCAAGTTCACAGATAAAAATGAAAACAATTAGAATATTAAATCTACACATTCCATATGTTTAGAGACATCTAGATATGTTACTGAAGTTTATTTTTCATTCATATATTGGTGTTATGATTATTTCTTCAAAAGATAGGCATTTATGATATCATATAAATATGGGTTATAGAGTTATATAGATTCAACTCACTATTGACAAATTTGCCTCTGGTCATCTTATAAAATTGTGTGACAATGGATACATATTTCATTTGTGTTCTCCGGTAATGTATTGTGAGCCCTTATACCAAAATGTTGTAATGTGAATGAGTAAATAAATTGCATAGAGATAAAATAAATGTTTAGCCAATGGCAACAAGGATTCTGATATACAGCACTTTTATTAAAGGCAAAAGTATGCTTTCTAGATTCTGAAATACATCATTCAAACAAATTAATCACTTGGCTGCTTTCTTTGGCAAGTAGAGTCAAGATGTGAATTAATATTTTTCTATTTATTTAGAGTAGTTTGATCACCCAGAAAATATAAATATTAAATACTTTGTCAATGAAAGGATAAAAAGTGAGACTTCTTTATAATAAGCCTATGTTCTGAAACATGAAGTCTATAACAACACTATAAATATTCACCACTAATAGAGCAGGCTATTATATACTTTTGTTACTTTTTAATAAGAGTTTATTGAAAAATATTATCTGCATGCAGAGATATTAAAGGCCTATGAGATTTGGTTCATATTGCACTGATTTCAAAAATAATATTATGTTTCATTACTCAGATTCTGGAGATAAAGAATTTATTTTTATGTGGATTGTTATTTTGCTATGTTACAAACATACTTAATATGGAATCTTGCCATAGATCAAAGCTTGAAAAAAAGAAAATATTTTTTTAAAAACCCCCATTTCTTCAGCATTTTCCAGAGAAATCGCAGACTGGAAGATAAAATTAGCTTTAAGCTAAAATAAAATAATAAAAGTTCACAAAATTTATATATCATGTTTTAAGAGGGACAGATTTGTTTTAATTGTATGCAATTTAATATTTGATGACTAAATTTCTAAAACCTGGGGTTTTACCCTAGGTTACTAGAGCAAATATTCAGAAGGCACACAGGATGCCAGTAACAACAGCATGAGATTCCCAGAGGAAAGAAATAATGTGATGTATTAGCTGTGTGGCAGCATAGCAGTGTGGGATGTTGAGCCTCAGGGTAGTGCTCTATGCCATCTCATGGACCATTAGGGGAATCTATTAGTAAGGGATTAGCAATGACACCAACTAAACCAGCAAACATTTCAAGTATATTTCATAAAATATGAAGCTAATCCTTATGTCAAATCCTTCATATTTAGCCAATAAACTGTTATTTACTTCTCTCTCTCTCTCTCTCTGACTGTGAATGCCTTCAAGGAGGGAACTCTGTCTTATTTATTTGTATATTCCTCACTCCAATCCCTCCCATCTTTCATTGATCACAGCACCTGTTACTAGACATTCAGTAATATTAAGTGTATGTATGAATGATATATAGGGACTTCAAGTCACCAAGGACAGGTGAGATTAATTTTACTCAGTATATTATATGAAATATACTTATAAATTTTAATAAAAGTAAATAACATTTTTAAAAATGAGGTATTAGGCATTTTAATGACTACACTTTCTCTATCTTAACGACAAAACAAAAACTATTTTCACAATCCAACCAATTACACTGGATTATAAAATGATCCTAAATTAAACTATAAAACTGTGCTGTTATTATTATAGCAATATTGACTTGCAATTTCTGTAATTGCTTTTGTAGATTTATTTATAATACTGATGCTAAGTAGAAAAACATATGCTTTTCCCAGAATCTTCCTCTCTTTTTTTCATTTTATCCCAATATTTTATAATATACCTATATATAAAAGCCTAAGCGACCATCCGACTGTTCTACCATCCGACCGGTAGCTATGACATACAATGACCATCGGGGGCAGACACTCTGACCAGTAGCTATAACATGCACTGACCACTAGGGGGCAGACGCTCAACACAGGAGCTGCCAAGCTTCTGTGACTTGGCAGCTGTGGTTCTCAGGTGACGCAATCGGAACCAGAGGAGGGGGAGCCCAATTATGGGGTGCATTACCCCAAAACAGCCCTCTTGCAATCCAGGGACCCTCAGGAGATGTCGGAGAGCCAGTTTCAGCCCGATCCCCACAGGCCAGGCCAAAGGACCCCACCAGTGCAGAAATCTGTGTAACGGGCCTCTAGTTTGAAAATAAATTTGGATACACTAACTTTTGAAGTTCTGCACCCCTCCATTCCATTTTCATAAGTTGTACTCATTATGTATTTGTTGCTTTCTTTTTGTTCCATTGCTAATTTAATGGAATTCTAGTATCAAATATGTAACCTAATTCCTAAAGAACATAGTACATAAACATGTTAGGATTACTATATAATTATCAAATGCTTTCACATATATATTTATACATCTGTAGTATTCATTTATCCATATAGGTGTATGAATATATAACTAATATTGAAAACCATGAAGTCTTGTATCAGTCTGTTTTAAAAGTTGAAGTGACAAAATTTCACATGGTAACAAAAAACAACACAAAATAGCCTATACTATTTCTAAAATCAATACCATATTCTTACAGTTTTTCATATAAAATTTCACAGGACAGGTTTTATACTGGTATTATAGAATTACTGAACCCTTTTTCCCAGAAAAGGGAAATAAGAGTAGATTTTAAGAAATCTATTCCTCTCATTTTCTGCCAAGATGATTTTGACTGGATGTTTCAGCTCTTGGTGACAATGATGATAATGTGTTTCTTCCATCTGGAATTGTCCTTGGAGAAAATATCCCTATGGAGAATCTTGAAAGACTCATTATTCCAATATTACAAATATGAAAATTGAGGCAGAGAGAAGTGTAATTTTCTCAAATTCATGCAGAAACTCAGAAGTGAAGCCAGGAGTGGAACCCAACTCATGTGGAAAAGATCTAATGCAACATGCAATATCAAAGCTTGCAAAGGTAATTAAAGTGAGTAGTATAATTACCTAAATTGTAGTACAGGAAAATAGTGTCATATTTATAAACCTAATTATATTGAGAAGGAGAGTTACCTGAATGATAGTAATCATATGGATGGAGTTCACATATTTTATATGCTTTACTTTTCTGTCTTGAATCTTAAAAAAATGGGAGTTTGAAGTATAACAGGCACAAAAATAATTAAAAATAAAAGTACAATCTAGCGCCAAACAAATGCCAGGTTTAAATGTTGGCACCAAGTGTACCTAGTTCTGTAATCATAAGCAAATCACTTAACCTTTGAGTCTCAACTTCCTCATCTATAAAATAGGAATAGTGTTTAAAATATCTGGAAAGTATATATTACAAATAATACATAAATAGCACCTATTAATATGGTTGCATAGTCATAAGTAAGTATGTGTGGTTATTAGGTAATAATAGTACATGCACACATATCAGCTAGTTTTTAATATATCTTCTTTTACTGTATTTAGACTTATTCATCAGGTTTTTTCCAAATTTCCTTATTATTTTATTTTCAAATTGATTAATATATGTATGGGTAATACATTACATGATACAAGATTTCAATTATGACCCAATAGGCCACTGACCAGAGTTAAATCTTAGTTTAAATATTTTATGGTACAGGCATCTGAGAAAACTACCAGTTTCGATGGAGTGTTGTGATATGAGAAATATTAAAATAAAAACATGTTTGGAAATTGATATTTCTCTTTGCTTTCTCTTAGCACCATGCTAAGAGAAATTCAGATTGTTTCTGAAATGAAAATGGAGAATATCTGAAATATTCCTGGAGTAGAATAAAACAGAATTATCCAGACCAGATATAAAGACTTATTATAAATTAGAATATTAAGACTGGTTTTGTCACATCAAAAAAGCTGTGCATATATGGAAACTTGATTTAGAACAGAGTCAAACAGTGATCAGTGGGAAATGATGGGCTATTTAATAAATTGTCCTGGACAACTTGTTATCTGTATGGGCTAAAGTAAATTTAGATCTTTTCCTTGAAATAGGTATGAAAACAAACACTTTAGGGATTACACACTTTAATTGGAAATACAAACTTTAAAATTCTTAGAAGAAGACATAGAAGACTTCCTTACTGTCCTTGGCAGAAAGATGGGTCTTCATGAAGACATCAAAGTAATATGCATAACAGAAAATTGATAAATTTGAATATATGAAATCTTAGATTTTCTGATCATCAAAGGGCACTCGAAGGACTCAAAAAAAGATGTAATAAATTGAGAGACTATAATATCAGCCATATAACCACAAAGCATTAAATTAGCGTTTAGAACATACTTTAAAAATCTATAAAGAATAAATTTAAATTAAAAAGAATTCAATGCAAACCAAATATACAGAAGCACTTTAGAAAAGAGGAAATGCAAATGGGTCATAAGCATTGTAAAGATGCTTTACTTCATTAGTAACTAGGAAATGCAAAATAATATGCTTAGATAACATTTATAATCATTGTATTGGAAAAATGATAACTCCTAATGTTGGCAAATACATCTCTATATATAAAAGCCTAAGTGACCTTCCAACTGTCCAACCGATAGCTATAATGCACAATGACCACCAGGAGGCAGACTCTCAATGTAGGAGCTGCCAACATGTGGTGACTTGGCAGCTGCAGCTCTTGGGTGATGCACCCAGAACCAGAGAGGAGGGAGCCCGATTCCGGGGTGTGTCATCTGAGAACTGCCCTCTTGCAATCTGGGACCCCTCAGGGGATGTCTGAGAGCCGGTTTCAGCCCAATCCCCACAGGCCCAGGCCCAGGGACCCCACCAGTGCATGAATTCATGCACCAGGCCTCTAGTGGGTAAATAAAAACTTTTACACACTGGACTGTGGAAGGTTAAATTGATGCAACTTAGGAAAATAATTTTTCTGTATTATGTTAAGTTGAACATTCACACAACTTGTGACCCATCAATGCAACTCCTGGATATATACTTAGAGAGGTTTGATCATGTTTATCAGAACACAAATACAAGAATATTTATAGCAGCACCATTTATAAAAGAAAAAAAAGTAGTTCAAGTGTGCATGGACAGGAGAATAGATAAACTGTGGTATATTTGCACAATGGAATAGTGTAGTCATTTTTAAAAAATGAGTGAATACAGTCCCTTAAATCAATATGGATAGGGCAAGAAGCCTAAAAGACAATCGAACTTAAACAGTACTTTTTAAAGTAACACGTTCTAAAAACTGTTTGCTTTAAATAAAGACTTGGGGATGATAAACACAAAATGCAATGTGAGAGGACACTTAGCTTAACAAGAATATACAAAGATGAGAAATGCAGTATGAAAGGGAAAATGTTCCTCCTAAAGAAGACAGTGAAATGATGCCAATATTTTTCTAGTTCTGATCATGGATAGGCACCTAATGGATATTTAAAATTATACATGTATAATTTTAAATAACATTCATAATAATTAAATATCTATATTTAAATGTACTAGGTAAATTCAATTAATATGTTAGAAGGAAAACATCTCTACAAAGCTGATGTGAATTATATAATGACTCATCTCAGTATTAGTATTTAACAAATATCAGTGAAAATTTTTTTTATTTTGACCTTAGTTTTAGGAAATTATAGGAATTATATATTTACAAAGTAAAATAAAAGTACAAAAGGCAGAAAAAAAATAGTTCAAAAGAAGGGACTCACTCCGAGGTGCAGTGCTCAAAGAAAGCTCTGGGAAGCAGCACCGGCCCAGTGCACCCAGTGCCCTTTCAGACCCAGCTTCCTCCATTGTCCCTGAGCATGTGTTAAATTGGTTCAGGAACTGACAGCTAGATGTCAAGTCGAAGAACTTGGGAGAGAGGGAAGATTTTCACCAAGATAATTATTAAAATGTTATAACTGTGGATGGTGCCAGATAGTACTAGCACTATTGTGATCACTTCATGAGGTATATATAGTCACTGCGTTGTACATATTATTTATTATGTACAATAATACATACATACAATAATACACCTGAAACTAATATAAAATTGTGTGTCAACTGTAATTGAAAAATACATTTTAAACGATGTTAGCTCTAACTCATAGAAACCCTTGGTAAAGCCAGATACCTGTGAACAACCTAAAACCACAGTTCTTTCTCATCTATTTTTTATATGGTATCTCATAAAATTGACATGTAGCACTTCATATGGACCTTCTGAAAGTTTAAAAAGTATTATCATGAACATGAGATCTGATTAAATTCAGTGTTGGTGTATTTTCATATTCATTCCTTCATCCTGTCTTTGGGTAAGACATTGAGGAACTGTTTTTTCATTGGCAACAAAAAAAGAAGGGGAAGTGCCCATTTAATTTTCTTTCATTCTTTTGCTTGTTTGTTCCTTGTCTTTGTTAAAGGTGAAAGTCTGGTTCCAGAACAGGCGAATGAAGTGGAAGAGAGTAAAAGGGGGACAGCAAGGAGCTGCGGCTCGAGAAAAGGAACTGGTGAATGTGAAAAAAGGAACCCTCCTCCCTTCCGAGCTCTCGGGCATCGGCGCGGCCACCCTCCAGCAGACAGGGGACTCTCTAGCCAATGATGACAGCCACGACAGTGACCACAGCTCGGAGCACGCACACTTATGATACACGCAGTGAGGACCAGCTCCATTCTCAGGAAAGAAGTGTTGTGACGGCAAGCCTTACTCAAACATCGTTTACACAGAGAGATGACTATGACAGTGATTTTTTAATATTATTCCATGCAGCCATCTCGAGTCAGTTTCTCGTGATTTCTAGAGGGTTTAACACTAAGTGCCACTTATTAAAGATGCTTCCCGGTGAAGATGGAGAAAGGTGAACTCGCTTTGAATATTCCAGATGTGTGGGTGGTGTGTATGGCAGCGAGCAGGTATGTTTGCTTTTGCTTGCACTGAAAGTGGAATTGCTATCAAGAGCAAACTATGAGACATTTTCATTCCACATGCCTCCAGAATGAAGATGCAGAAGATGAACTTGCTTTGAACATTCCAGATGCATGAGGTGATGTGTATGACAGTGGGCAGTTATTGGCTTTTGCTTGCACTGACAATTAAATTGCTTTCAAGAATAAAACATGAAACATTTTTATCCTGAACAACCACAGTGCCTGAAATCACTCTTAAGTGGATAAAAAAAAAAATGTATTTTAACTCTGTATATATTACCCTTAAGTCATTTTCCTGTCTTCACTACGTTTAGCAACGCATTCATATTAGCTGATGAAAATAGGCACTGACGATGACAACCAGACCAGCTTCCTGTCTTTATATACACTTTGTCATCCCAGAGACAATCAGCACATGCTTACTTGTGTTCAAGTAGAGAAAAATACATTAGAGTCTGATAGGACATATTCTTGTACCACAGACAAAACAAATCTTATGTTGCATTTTCTATCAACTGCTGCTAATACATTATTATAAAAGTTACCTAGCTCCTCAATTCTTCCTATCTTCTAGCTTGAAAAAAAAATAGGATCATAGGCAAATCAGTTACCTTGCAGAAAGAGCTTTGTATGACATTGTCTGATTTTATTTCTATAAAATGTTAGCTGTTATGAATATCATTTAATTTACAAGAAAAAGGTTTCCCCCTGATTGGTGATGGTGTTAGACAAGTTGCAAAACCAAATTGATTCCTCAAGTTGGTGGACAATAAAATTCTGAATATCTTCAAATAAAATTCAGTAAAAACATTATTTTTTTCATATATGATGTATTCATGCAAAACAACAATCTTTGTATTTTGTAAAAAACAAAGTGTTTAATAAATGATCCTTTGTAAATAATTTTGGTCTCCCTACTGTGTTTTCCTAAATTTGTATAGGTTTTAATGTAAATAATATATCCCAAGTTCATCTGCACTTGTGGGAATGCAGATGATCATAAATTAATGAATCATCTATGTGTATATTTCTGAAAGTTTTATAATAAAAAAGCAGTCCTCTAATATCATAGACCATATACTAATGGGCATACACTAAGCCATTTCCCTGATTTGAGGAATAAGCCAAATAGATTTCTTTGTGCATTTTATTAAATCAAAGATAAAAGTAAGAAAAAATGTAATATTATTCACCACAATGAGATAAGTAAAATAGTCATACATTTTAAAACGTAAGTATAATATTTGTGAATTAGTCAAATAAGTCAGAATATCCAAGGTTGTTGATGTGAAAATAAGCTAAATAAATGAATAAGCATTCTCAGTACTGATGGACGTTGCCAATAAAAAACTCAGATTAGCCCTAGCTGGTTTGGTTCAGTGGATAGAGCATTGGCCTGCGGACTGAGGGTCCCAGGTTCGATTCCGGCCAAAGGCACATGCCTGGGTTGCGGGTTCGATCCCCTGTGGGGGGCATGCTGGAGGCAGCCAATCACTGATTCTCATCATTGATGTTTCTCTCTCTCTCTCTCTCCCTCCCCCTTCCCCTCTGAAATCAATCAAGAAATATATTAAAAAAAAAACAATGACTCAGATTATATTAACTTGACATATTTTGTGTCATGCATGATTGCACATGCATTGGATACTTATGTCCTGCTTACAACTTTATAACATTGTTTTTCATTTGTTCCATATTTTAAGCAGAAATGTATGGAAAGATACAGCAGCTCACCCAATCAATTAGAAATAGAGAATAATAGTGAATAAAATTTTCCCCAAACCTTATTATTTCATTGATTTCATTTGTTTTAGAATGATGATACTGATGAAAAATGACTTTAATTTACTTAGTCTAGCATGATATGTAGACAATATTCAAGACATGAAATAACCAGTTGTATCACATTTTCCCTTTGTGTAATAAATTTTATCACACCAGTTAGCAATATTTCTGTTAGCCTTGGAGGGAGGACTATTCAGATTAACATCTTCCAGGCATAAAACAGACACTCTCCTATCAATCACTTGAATTAGTTAGAAGTGTATTTGTACTGATGACATCTATGTGGGTGGACTGACTTTCTTGTTGTAGGATTTAAATTCAAAACATCTTGACAAATTGGAGAAGTGGGAAAATATAAATTGAATTGAGTTCAATAGGGACCAAGTGGAAGATAATTCATTTCGGCAGGAAAATAATTTCCAGAAATAAGAGGAAAGGGCCTCTTAGAAGCAGCTAAAGAGGGAGCCTAAGGATTGTGGTCAAATAGAATGATATAGAAGAATTACAATTTAGTGTGATAAATGAAATAGGAAAAAGTGATTCTGAATATATTGGCCATTAAGGAAATGTGAATCATTTGTTAGAGAATTGTGAGCTATTTGAAAGTGATGTAATGAAATTTAACTCTAGAGAACATGAAGAACCACCAGGTAGGACAGGCCACTTCTGACCAAAAGGGGGCATCATTTTATTCATAATGGATTAAAATTACCCACCACATAAGATGCTAGAACACCTTAGCACAATTATGACAAAATTACAAATAAACAATCAAGCTAGATTAATTTTAATTAGAATTGGCAGTCTTTTTGGAGTGTTTTAATATTTCCCATCTTAAAAGTGGTGCATAGATTTGCTAGATAATACCTCAACATCCTTCTGGAATTACACTCCTACCAAGAAATTTAAGATTTTCTCATGCACTATCAAGTTTAATTCGCTCCAGAAATGACAAAATCTAAAAGAACTCTGTTTTTATTCCATACTGGGATCCTGGCTCCTTATGATATCGTTTTATATAATGCCCTTTTCATATAATTCTGTCACAGACTTAGTAGCTCTGTGGAAATTTATATAGCATGAAAGTACCTTCCTCTGAAAATAGTATGAAATCTTGGTTAGAGTCATTTTTTCCAGCAGGATTTAAAGGGATGAACACTACAAAGTTTTTCCAAAAGTTGATCCACATATTTTTAACTCATTGTTAACATGACCCCAATTACCTCTTACTTCCCATATTTACCTAGGGTTGTCAGCCTGTTTTCCCCTTCACAGACTTAAGACCCAAGCTTGCCATTTTTTTTTTTTTTTGTGTGTGTGTGTGTACAAACTAAATGCACTTAAAATAATTCCAACCATAGTTTTAATAACTTTTGAATGACATTACATAAAATAAATGTGGAATGACTTGTGAAATTCAGTAAGGTTTTCCTTAGGAGAATAGAATTAGATTAAAGGGCAGAGACAACAAAGTAAATGATAAAAATATATATTTTATGTTTTTAATGATACTGGTTTTCAAGAACATTTTAAAAAATTGCTGGCATATCTATAGCGGCAAATTCTAATTTCCTTTTCAGAGGAGTTTGGAGGTAATTACAAAGCTAGAATAAAATCAGTAACAAGATGGCAGAGTATTCTAAGTTAGTGATGAGAAAGATTTAGTGTAAAATATTCTCACCTTTATTTGTAAACATACCTAGACTGGTGAGTCTAAATAGTATATAGATTTTTAAAAATACCTCAGTTATGCTGTGACCTGTTTCCTAATAAATTGGTGTTAAAGTAATTAAGTTAATCTTTGAGGTGAGTGGTAGTTAGATTAGAATGAGATGTTTATCAAACACAAATACTCAATTGGTATAGTTTTTTTAACTATTTGAGGAATAATTGCATTTTAATCAGTTGCTTTTATTGTATTCTTTTATTTTATTGATGGAATGTTAAGCACACAGTATATATTTAAAGCTGAACTAGTAATTGTGGGTAAATTATTTGCTTGAGTTTGACTTTCTTTAGGTGAGAGCTCAATTTTATTTAAATTTGTAAACATTGGAATGAAATAATTTTATCTCATTTCTATATTATCTAAGATAATATTTTAGTATTTTAAAAAAATTAAAAGTGAATAGAGTGCATGTTAACTAAAATGGTAAGATTAAAAGGATACTTCTTAACCCAAGTGCCTATCAATAGTCAACTGGTAAGGGGGAGAGATCAACCAAAGTACTTATATGCATGCATATAGGCCTAACCAATGGACATAGACAACAGGGGGGTGAGGGCATGAGAGGGGGAGATGGGGGGTACTGTGGGGATAAGGACACATATGTAATAACTTAATCAATAAAGAAATTAAAAAAAAATAGTCAACTGGGTAAAGAAGATGTAGTACACATATACAACGGAATATTACTCAGCCATAAAAAAGAATGAAATTTTATGATTATTAACACCATGGATGGACTTAGAGGGTATTATGCTAAGTAAAATAAATCAGACAGAGAAGCCAAATATCTGATCATTTCACTATATGTGAGATCCAAAGAACAAAATAAATGAACAAACAAAATAGACTAATAGATACAGAGAACAGACTGATGGTTGCCAGATGGGAAGGGAGCTGGGTGAAAAATATGAAGGGATTAAGAAGTACGAATTGGTAGTTATAAAAAAGTCACAGAAATGTAAAGTACAGCATAGAGAATATAATCAATAATATTATAATAACTATGTGTGATGCCAAGTAGGTACCAGAATTATCAGGGGGATCACTTCATAAATTATATAATTATTTGACCACTATGCTGTACCCCTGAAACTAAGCCTATATAATAAAAGCGTAATATGCTAAGTTTCTGACCAATTGGTTGATTTTTCAGTCCACCACTCGACCAGTTGTTATGACATGCACTGACCACCAGGGGGCAGATGCTCTGACCAGTAGGTTAGCTTGCTGCTGGGTCTGGCCTGATCAGGACTGAGCAAGAGGACCGGACATGCCCTGGGTCCCTCTCATGGCCCCTCCCCAGCTGGTCAGCCCCCATCAGGCCCAATCAGGACTGGGCAATCACTGGCCACACCGAGGGACCTCACCTGTGCATGAATTCATGCACTGGGCCTCTAGTATAAAATAATATTGAATGTCAACTGTCAATATAAAAAATAAAACTTACATGTTCAATAGAAAAAGACAAATTGGCTGATGACATTACACATTTTATAAAAGTCACATCAACTTAATTTCTTTTAGACAATGGTTCTCAACCTTCTGGCCCTTCAAATACAGTTCCTCATGTTGTGACCCAACCATAAAATTATTTTCGTTGCTACTTCATAACTGTAATGTTGCAACTGTTATGAATCCCAGTGTAAATATCGATATGCAGGATGGTCTTAGGCAACCCCTGTGAAAGGGTCGTTCGACCGCCAAAGGGGTCACGACCCACAGGTTGAGAACCGCTGTTTTAGAAGAATTCATCATATCCGAGTTCACTCCCCTCTCATTCAGGTCTACATTCCCGAATCCCCTTGCCTGGAATGCTCTTTCACCATATAGATCTCCTTCTTACTACCTCATTTCCAAGGTGTCCACTTCCTCATTCAGGCCATCCCGGATCTTCTAAAATAAAATGGCACCACCTGTCACATTCTACCCCTTTAAGTAGTACTGTTTTTCTTCTTAGCTGTTAGGTAAGTATCTGCCAATTTCTTCTACCATTGATTGCAGGCTTCATAAGTGCAGGAACTCTGTTCACTGTGTTCATTGCAATGAGTCTAGCACCTTGAACAGTCTCTGGAGGCTCCACCACCAGCTGATATGCTGAGTTTGTGTGAATTATAAAAGAGTTACTTCTGCCTCAAGATATTAGACTGCCCACACGTGGTGACCACGGTGATCATTGTCACACTATATGCTAATTGTGAAGTGAATGACACCCCCTGGAGGTATTCAATGCATAATTTTCACAATTACAAACACTGATTCTGAGCTTGGCATGTTGTAACAATAACAAATATTTGTTGAATTAATGCCTGAATAAAATGATACAAGGTCCATTCAAAGACGAGGCTGTAAATCCAAATTAGTTGTAAAGTATAGCTCTGGGACATTTTTA